TAGGTCTCTCAGAGCATCTTGAAAACTATATCATAGCTCAAAAACTTGCAATTAAATAGTCTGACTTTTTTTCATGGATAGATAGTCCAACGGGTCCTCTTCAAAATGGGAGTCAAGCGAGACTCTCATCATTGATCGTTTAGGTGTGGTATCGAATTTCCTGGAGGCACCAGGAATGGTTTTGTTTCATATGTTAGAACCTCAGAAATGGCTCTAAACAGGGGTTATTGATCACGCTGAATCTCATGACAAGGTTTGTTTGTAGAAAGAATTTAAAGATCTGCTGAAAAGTGAGTTACAAAAACTGGGATTTCAAGGTTGTTTTCACCTAATATTAAATTTGCAATTCACCCAGAGAACTACAGGACGAGCCTAAAACGTCAGGATATGGCTGAATTTGTCTGGCACACCTGATCATGTCAGCGAAAAAAGTCGAAAACCATATTTTTGCTCAAATGTTGTACAGAAATCCTTTCGTAAAACAATTGATAGTTTCAGTAATATATAACTCGATAACCTATACAGCGTATAACGAGAGAGAGGGGTGTTCTTCTCGTTCAACTAAACAAGAACTTTTCGAAGTAACATAGATAAAAAGAGGATTTCGAACACAGGCATGTACCTTCATCTTTATTGTTTTAAAACACCGTTGACATAAAATGTTACATAAAGACAATATTTTGATATCAATGCAAACTTGTTGTTTCAAATCCTAAGTTTGTTAGACTTATGGACAAGATAGTGAACGAATGCAGTGAGTTTTGACCTATTGTAGAATAGTTAGTGAAGTATAGTGCGGTAAACAAAATTCGACCAGAATGGTTATGATATAAAAAATGCAGAATTTAATGAACTTGAAATTGAAATACATCAGATTTTTTGACAGGTATGCCTTCAGGCATTTATATTTTATATTCAGGCAATCATTCTATTCGTATAGTATTTAGTAAATACTATATGAATAGAATAATTTTTGCGTGTGTTAACATTACAAACAAATTGTAGCAAGGCTGTTCGTTAATAAAACGGTGGTATTTTGTGCATATAAACACGTGGACTTACACAACTGAACTAGGATGCTGCTTAAAACCATGTTATCCTGAAATGCTAAGCTTTATATGAATATTAGCGTTCTCTCATGTGATGATATTTTCACAAATGGTGAAAAGAGAAAGAAATTCTCTTTCATTCTTATTTTTGTGTCATCGTTGTTTCAGTTTCTAACAGCTGTGCCGGGAATTTGTTAAGAAGAAAATATGAATATCAAGAACATAGTAGAAAAACGAATGAGGACAGCATACCCTAGACGAAAACCTACGCACTTCCTACTTATTTCCCACTACGATCTTATAGGATCTTAACGTTAGGATCCTAATGGGAAATAAGTAGGAAGTGTATGGAATTTTATCTAGGAGTGAATTATTACATTTACTTGTTAAAGTCCTATTCGGATCCTAACAGAATCCTACCAAACTCTAGGGCTTTTGGGTATCTTGGGTTTCATTAGGATTTTGCTAGGCTACTTAAAAGTGAACGAACTCCTGAAAGGAAACGGATAGGATTTCTCTAAGATCCTGTCAAGAAATGCATAGGTTTCTTGCTAGGGTAAGTAGACAAGTAATTGCACAATGTATCAAAAGAAAATCTTTAAATTAATATAATGCATGATGTTTGTGTCTGTTGTGGAGATCGCATTGTTGTGTTCAATCGTCTAAAGATGCAACGCCTCCGTTCAATATCTTAGATTGGGGGAAATTTCCTCGAAAGCGATATTCTCGAAAATAATTTCCTCGAATGAAGTTTGCTCGAACAGAATTTCCTCGAATGGAAACATCCTCGAATTTTCCAGACAGAAATTATCACTGTTATTTATAGTGTATAGAACAAGAGAAACATTAAAGATGAACAGAAAAAATTACTTCAGCTACAGATAAATACCAATAAGACAACTAAACCTATCTCAGTTATTACGAATTTATTGCATGATAACGAAGATATTCATAACCTTTGCGAACTTCAAGCTTAACAGCATTTGCAGAATGTGAATGTGATTTATTGTTAACAAAAATAACGGTATTAAGTAAATCTGTATAAACACGAGCTTCACATTTAATATTTGGATCGCGAGATTCTTCACATTTCCAATAAATTTTGATACTACGTGTTTTGTCACGAATATAAGAAATCCAGCATGAATCAGTAAAGGTTTTGATTTAGAAGTTGAAGAAAAAGTTGCCATGTTTACAGTACAAAAAGATTGTTTCAAGTAAAAAATTTTTTATTTATTTATTTAACGCTTACGCTCATAGCATCTGGGTACAAAAAAAGAGACGTATAAATGTAAAGAGGTTTATATAGCGCATTGTCTGGGGTGTGATTATCATGCGGTCTCTTTATTGATTTCTTTTTTAATGCTAGTTTTATAATTCGATTAATTAATTAAGTCTTAATTATAGTTGATTATTTTAGCTCTTCTGTCATCTGTTTTCCTTTTGAACATCTCTTATCATTACCTATTTCTCGTCTTTGTATCAATATTCAAAGTGACTTTTAAAATAAGTTATAGTCTTATTTTCTCTTATAAACAGGTACAAACATGTATAACCGAAAATTTAAGGAGGTATACACTGCAAATAACATTGATAATTTCTGTCTAGAAAATTCGAGGATGTTTCCATTCGAGGAAATTCTGTTCGAGCCAACTTCATTCGAGGAAATTATTGTCGCGGAAACTTCATTCAAAGGAATTATTTTCGAGAATATCGCTTTCGAGGAAATTTTCCAAACCCCTATCTTGTCCATAAGTCTAATAAACTCAGGATTTGACACTGTGTTACAGCTCATTTTGTAGCCCTTTCAATTTTGCATTTTTATGTGTATGAACCATTCCAGATCTGGGCGTTGCACAAAACTATATACCTCTTACCATATTCAATGAGGGTTACATATATGGGATGCAAATAGTCATAAATAATGTTTAATCAATAACGCTATGAAGACATTAGTTTGAAAAGATGTGTTATAGATCATTTTAAAGCCCGTTTAATTGCGCATGTCTTTGTATATAAGATTCTATTAAGAACACTGAACTCACAGAAAAATGAATGGATACCACCGAATAGGCTTTTTGGGTTGATGCTTAGAAATGATTAAAAATTTCAGGATATGGTAGTCCACAATCAACCATTAAGGCGCAGAAATATTAAAAACTAAATAACGAACGGATCCACTATTTATCTTGTCGAACATATATACAACCATTTTCTTGCAGAAACCGTTCGCCGTCGTTCTTGAAATAAAATGTCCATTGAAAAAAGGTACATAATTCATCAATTCGAAATATTTACTGAGCTTTCATTATATCTCTGAAGTCTTATTTTCAGCATTGTTTTCCCACCAAAGAATGTACGAATTCCTGTGCAGTATTTTCTCTCAAAAGCAAAATTTGAAAGATATTTCATACCAAATGATGCATAATTTCAAGTTCTATTGAATTACGTTTGTTTGAAAATGAACTAATTGTGTTATAAACGGAACCAACACAGAAGTCTCTTGATTATCAAAAATGGACACAAAGACTCAAAATCAACCTCTTGGTTATTTTTTCAGACAAATCAGACATCGAACTCTAGTGGAAAACGACCAATCAGAATATTCAGATTGTTTTCTTCCAAACTTTTTATTAACTGGCTGCAATTCTGCTCAAAAATTTAGAAACACTGTTCTTTTTATCAAACCTTGGCATTACGTGCACAAACCTTATTTAAAAGAGCTACTACCGTTGTGTTGCATGTTCCATTCTCTGTTTAAACAAGTGATTGAGCAGTTCTACTAACATTTTAAAATCGTCATCTACTGAATGGCAGCATATAGTAGAACTGATTGATCACAAGATTATCAAAATCTTGTATACTGTCATTGGAAACGATTTACTACTGATTCTATGGTAGAGATTTATTTTTGAGTTTTGAATCTGAACAAGTTGGTATTTGGATAGAGGAGTGCGATCTATGTCATTGTAGTGAGAGCATCCATTTCCTTCGATTAATAAGGTGCTGACGGAAACTCAGCTTCTCTTCTTTTGTGTACGTATTGTTACAGCAGCATTCTCTCGTTTATTCTCATCGCTCCTATGAAAACTAAAGCACTTACGTCTACGAGAGATTTTTAACATATGTTTAAACTTTGAGATCAAATGATAAAAAGAAATAGTTAACGTATGTGTAAAATTGGCACAAAATAATAGCCATGTTAAATATAAAAGCGAATACGTCGTTTCTCGCCCAATCATTTTTGTGAAAGATTTAACTATGTTTTTACGAACTACTGATTCTATCTTATATAAACAGATGATAATTTATACACTGCGGTTGATCTCAGTTACTTGCAATGAAAGAGATAAATAATTCAACAAAAAAGGTACGATACTTTTCTGACGGAAGTATATCGACACTTGTTGGGCACGAGCGCCTACCCGTGCTAGTCCCCGATGGCATACCTTGAACACTAATAGTGTTCCGCTAAAACGTTCATTTTTGTAGAGAAATGAATTATTCATGGTTGATATTAAGCATAGTTAAACAATCTTATTATTCTTAGATCAAATTTCTATAACTATATTGAATAAAATTTTTCTTCGTTTAAAACTAATAGATAAAATGTAAAGAAAAGAAAACGAGGTTATTGATATTTTGAGCATAAAAAAAAATGACTATTGAACAGCAAACATTTCATGAGACAAATGAATATCAAACAAACGAGCCAGATATTAGAGAAGTGTACTTGTGTGTAAGTGTAAGTAACCTAAGTGACTTCAACGGTTAAAAGTTTTACGGTCGTCTGTATGAATGGTTAGATAAGGATAATTAAAATCTGATTTATGATCATCTAAAGACAAGAACATGCTAATCTGTTTACCAAAACAGGTTCATTTTTTTTTTGTCTAAAGTGCTATTGAATAAAACTGAGTTACTCTAAAACTCTTTTCTTCGCTTGTCGTCTATGAAATTCTCTGTTTTAAAACCTTGTTTGAATGAATATTTTATCCTGTATTGCATTTTGTGTGCACAAATACACAATCTAACAAAATAATGGCTGGGCCCTTCACCTAACATCACCTCTTGATATTTGACTCATTTAAGAAATTAAACAATCAGTGCTCAATAACCTGTTGTTTCTGCTCATTTGCTTTTCAATTAGAAAATAGAAATCTCGTGCTCATTTGCCTGATAAAATATTTGGTGCTTAGAACACATTTTCCCCAAAAAACAAACCTAGAAAATTGCAAAAAAGCCATTTTAATTTCGGCGAGTATGAAGGATGGTCGTTGTTGTTGTCGCTGATGACGTACGATTGGGCGATGATTCATTGCTATCTACGCTCGAATTGGATTGTTCGGTAGTCCGTAGATGTCTTGAAGCTAAATCACCCATACTTTTACTCGTAGTTAGACCATTCGTCATTACGGAAGTATTATCAGTGATTGTTGTTGCTATTGGAGCGACAATAGTTGGTGCGATTTCGTATTTATTAGTATTATTTCCATAGAGCATATTCGATGACCATGGTCCTCTGTAATATTGATTTGTTACTCCATTTCTATCCATACTCGCTGATCGTTGTCCACGTTGTTTCCCTAGTCCATTTTGATTACTATTTCCTTGTTGTTGATAATCATCTGTTATTTGATCAACAACTGTTTTCAATGTACCTTCTAAAAGATCTCGATATGTATTTATCTCTTTTTCTAACGATGTCTGTTTTAATGTAACATCATCAAATTCTTGACTCATACGATCTTGTTTTTCTCTTAATTCATTCAATTCATCATTTTGTTTACTATCCATACGTTTTCGTTCATCTTGAATCATATCTATTTTTATTTGTACTTCGCGTAAACGAATTTTTAGTTCAGAATTTTTTTGTTTTATATTCATAATATCATGCCGAACACGTTGAACATCTGAACGTACTTTATCTTCATCTTGACGAACGCGTTCTTGATCATGTTCACTTTGAAATATTGATTGTATATCCGGATATTGTTTTGATATCTCAGTATACTGTAGCATAAATTGATTATGTAGATCTTGTCGTTGAAGGTCATTTTGACGTTCATATTCTTGACGAATTTTTCGAATAGCATTCGATAACTCTGACTTAAAAAATTGTGCTCGTTCACTACCACTATTTGAAAAAGTATTGGATGAGGATGAATTTCCAAATGTGGTTAATTTTAGATCATTAATTCGTTGCTGTTGTTGTTCGTACAATGATTTCATATCGATTTTAAGCTGCTGTTTTTGTTGTTCACATTTCGTTTTTATTATAGTCTCATTTTGAATTTCATTTTTAGCTAAAACAAAAAGGCAAGAAACCTGAGTTTATATTTATCTTTATCAATTTATATTGTGTATCGACGAAAGGTGGAATGATAATAGTCTCGGATGGCAAGGTGACGATATCAATTTCAGTTTAATATAGTTAGAATTTTTTCTTCATAAGTTAACATTGAACAATTCCGTCATTATGAAAAAGATCTGAGATTATTCAAACATTAATCGATGTGAGCTCATTTTTATAAGGATTTCAATAGCTATAACTCTAAAATTCGTATGAAATATAGATCACTATGAGTTGTGGTTCAAACAATATACATTACTATGAGAGATATCTTATTTGAAATCGAATTAAATGTTTATATATCTTGAAGTATGTTAAATTATTGAAGATGTGATAATAACATTACCTTGCAATACTAATCGTTGTATATGTTGTGCTAATTGTTTCCATCTTAAATGTTCATCATCTTGATGATTTAATCGTCTTTTATACATGTTTACATCGGCTTCAATTCCCGATAATTGTTTTTCAACTTTTTCAGTATCATATTTAGATGAATCTGATTCTTTAAATGTTTGAGATAGTTTTTGTTTCAATTGTGGTATTGTCTGTTGAATATCTTTGGCAACATATTGAGCATTTTGTTTTTCTGATGAAATTTTTTCAACTGCTTGTTTTAATTCTTTCAATTCTGTTTCAAACATTTGTTTGATATGTTGGCAACTTGATTGTTGTTTATCTGACAATATGGATGATTCTAGGTGAACTTTCTTATTCTGTGCTTCTAAATATCGTACTTTTTCAACATAATCAGCAAATTTATCATTCAATGAACTTAATTCAGATTTTTCTTTTTCACGTGTTTTATGAAGAAAATTAAACGGTGGAGCTACTGGTGATGGATTTGAGCGATAAAAGTTTTTTTGAGTAGGAATAGTGTACGATGACGTTGACGATGTCGTCATTCCATAACCAGAATTTGGACGAGTTGCACTGTATGAATCAGTTGTATAAGTATTTGCATTGATGTTACTAGACGACGACGACGATAAAAGTGACGGCATTCTCGACGTCGAATATGATGTTTGTAATAATGGTGTAGAATTGAGAGCAGACATGGGATACGGTGGTGGTAGTAAGCCAAGAAAACTACTAGTCGTTGTTATACCTATAAGGAGAATCAATCAAACGTTCAATCCGTCAGTCAATCACGTAGGACTTCATTAGAAAAGCTCTGCATCCGCATCTTGTTTGGCTGATTAAATGCATATCAAAGCTGTTCACATTGTTCTGTAATCAGTCATTACTCTCAAAAAGATCCAAAGACGTTTAGATCTTCTAGTTTCTTATAGCTATAGATTTAGTTCACATTCCGAACTCCTTAATGCCTTCAACCAAAGTGATAGACTCAAAGAAAACTAGATCATGAATAAAAAGCCAACTGTTATCTATGCTTGTGTGAAAGAAAACAGCTATTCCGCAAGAAAAGAAACTAGAATCTTTTTTACGTTGTACTTCGTATAATTGTTCTTCTCCTAAATAATTTAAGTAGGAAAAGGTGTTGAATACTAAGTTTGTTATTAGAAATGAGTAACAAGTAACATCTGATACCTTAACACTATCACGTTTTTACGTAAAATTACATTAGACAAAGTAACTTGTAATATCGAGAGTTTTTTCTGATTAGTTTCTGTTCTATGTCTGCTTCTATCTCCATCTCCTTCATTACGTTCTGTTGGATATTATCTCTTTTTCAAGAATAAATACTACAATAAAGCGAAGATAGTTCACTGCGCTTTAACAAGAATTCTTGGCTAACAAAACGGATATTGGTTTTGGTACTAACTTCTAATAGAAACTGATATCTGCATCGTACAGTCTTGTTTAACCATTTTGTAGAATACGCTTGAACGTTTTTCTCTCCGTCTCAAAAATGGATTAAGGTTTTGTACAAGGAGAGAAATGTTCAGCATATTCTGCAAAATGGTTAAAACAAGACTGTACGATGCAGATATCAGTTTCTATTAGAATCTACTACCAAAACCGATGTTCGTTTTTGTAAGCGACAGAACTTCTTTTAGACACTGGTACCACTGCCTCTGACCTTCATATGGCAGCTGTAGGTTAGATTGTCTTGAGAGCAGAGATATTTTCGGTATCTCTCCAATTTTAGTTACCTGTATTTGAATTGCTTGTCGCTGCTCTAGTTTCATCAGTGGTAATTAGTGAATGCATTTGAGTCGTCATCCCGGTAGGTGTGACAAATAGATAAGTTGATTTATGTTAATTTAATTTTATTACATGTTATTTTATCTATTATTGTAAACGATAATTTAACCTTTATTGTCTCATAATTATGGTCCAACAGAAGTTCGTAGCTGTCTACCTTTTCTTTTCATTAAATCGCTGAGTAAAGTGAGTATTATTACCCTTTTTCTCTTGTTCGTTCGTTCGTTCGTTCGTTCTGTCTTTTTCTAACTCAACTCAAAAATCATAATTATATCCATATAACTTTGGTTCTTTTTTTGCTACTCTTCCACTGACAGCAACCCGAAAAAATGTCAAAATCTCTCACCTTCGCAGTATGAGATCATATGCTTTTATATTTTAATCCAAAAAGAAGCTTTTTAATCACAAAGAGAACATCGAACAAGTGCAAAAAACCATCTTACACACACAAGTAATGAATGTATTATGAACAATAGGGAAACGCCTTTTCTTTTACGATGGATACCTTTNAAGAGAACATCGAACAAGTGCAAAAAACCATCTTACACACACAAGTAATGAATGTATTATGAACAATAGGGAAACGCCTTTTCTTTTACGATGGATACCTTTCATAAAATTGCAAACTGTATATATTTATCTATCCACTTAAAAGTGAAGAAGTCCTTTTTTTCTATGTGGACATTTGTCCTTCAAGGATGAGAGGTTGTGTGCGGTGTGATGTGATGCAGTGACAAACTTCGAACGAACGAAAAAAAGTTTTAAAAAAACACGTTTTGTATAGTAAGGATTGTTTTTTTAAAAAAAAGTTTCGTTTTAACAAAAGGTAGAAAAAAACGAATGAACAATTTTTTCTTTTCTTTTCTCGACTTATCCTTACTACACACACGCTTTTAGTTTTAACTTTTTTCTTTTTCATACGCAACATAAACTTATTATCATTATGTGCAAGAAAGCTGTTACATTAGTAGGAAAAAATACATCCAAACGTGTTTTTTTTTCATTTAGCATTCACTTGTAAAATCGCTCACTTTCATGGACACAACAACCAGCCACGTTTTAACTGTATTTCAAAATTTACTTTTTTTTTCTTCAGTTTTACTTATTGTATGTACTTGATTTAAGCCTGAACGCGTGAAACATATACACAAACATATTTAAATATCAATTTTGATATTTTTATTTAAGATCTTTTGCGAAAAAAAAATGGATTAATATCAAGGCACTTAAAAAATAATTGAATATATATAGAAAAACATATCTTACGACTAATAGACATATTATTTATATTTTCTGTATATAAGGTTGTCTGTGAGTGTATATATGATTCAGACATACAGAAGCTTCTGTTTTTTTCCTTTTATTTCGTTATTGATCAAATGCAAAAAATTAATGACCTTAATTAAGGAAACAAATTGACCTTAAAAGAATCAATACTTTTACACTTGACAAGTTACTGGGACAACAAAAGGTTAAGAGCTTTCAATTTCAAAAATTTTGCTTCCTACTTCGATGTTACTGGTATTTTCAATTCTACTTTAACAGTTAAATAATTAGAGCGAAGAAAAATATAAACTCTTCCTAGCTAATATACACGATGAAGCATATCCTAAAATGGAAGAAAAAATGTCATGTTGTTTTCTCTTCAAACATTTACGATGGAGATAAAATTTCTTCTAGCAAATTTCTACGGTAGGTCTTCTCTAATTGCCTGTATATAGTAATGTCAATCTTCTCTGATGCTGATGTATGTGCTTATCTCTGGCATACATATATATGTCTATATAAATGATATTTTTAATGTTTGTACATATTCTCTCTATTTTTTCTCGGTTCATTCAGCATGAAGGTTATATTAATACCTTTTTTTGTCTGTAGATATATTAGAGTATAGAGTACACAAAGTAAATATTTGTTAAAATTTGCCGCAAATAGAATATCTGAAACATATTTTAACAAATAAATACACTTCAGGTTATCGATGTTTTATTACTACACATTCTTGTTCATTATTATATTCAGTTTTCAAAACCACAAAAAATGATACATATTATATAAAAAGCAAAAAACCGAGTCAAATTTCGTTCTTCACAAAAAGCAGCATCTAATAGGCATAAAAATTCATTAACTCTTCACTAATTAACATAAAAAATGATGTTTCTGTTTAAACGTTAACGAATTTATAGTACTGCTTACGTTTTCCACATGATGTTTTTCTCTATTATTCGTTTTAATAGGAAGGAAACAAGCAGACATTCACAGATGACAAGAACAGTTATTCTATTAGATTGATATTTCGTCATCATTCGAACATAAAATAGAATGATTATGCCGATTCTGTGGTGGTTTATCAGAGTTTAATGAACGATAAATAATTAAATGGGAGATCAATGAATATAAATGACGCCTATTATTTTTCTTTGTAGTGTATAGTAACAACTTTTAGTTCTAATAAATGGAAACGATAGGAGAGAAAGAAAAAGGAAGAAATATCTCGTCTTGCAGTTGCCGTTTACTAATATATGTTGCTCACACGTACCAGTTTCAAATAGCCCGATATCTTTCCTACAATTGACGATCTTCTGACATAGTCATCCATATTGTTTCAAGGCATCAGCTGAGTTCTGGACAGAAGAATACCCTGCCACAAAACTCTTTCGCCCAATTGCTTGAGCTTCCCATATACACATTAAACATGTAGCAGCTTTCCGGAAAATCACGGAAGCCAATCTGAGGAATCGAAGAGAAATTACACGCCACTGTAGTGAGTATGCATCTGAGACGCAAGTAACATTAGTATAACTAATTACATAACCGAGATTCAAACACAGCACCTTAGAAGCATATGACAAACACCAGATTATATAGTATATTATAGAGGAGAGTTTGACAATAACAACTAATAGGACCCTATAACCAATAAATCGAACATGTCGAAGTATTAAACTTATTATAATGGAGCTTACCTGCTTTTTATCTTAACTTCTGGTTGTAGTAACAAATTTTCTAGTTCACAAAAAATTAACCTTAGTATAGATGACTATTATTCTTGCTCTTGTTTAAAAAATTTTCTAGTATTTTCTCTCTCCATATTGCGTTATCGGACAAAATAATCCATTTGTCCAACGTGTTTAATTAGGGCAAACTCATTTCACAATTAGAACTATTTTATATAAACAATGTTAAGTCTTGAACCATGTTTACTAAATACACATCTTTTGATCACACTTAATCTTTGATCTTCTAGTGTGACGATAGTCGGCAATGTATTCTCCTTTTTACCACTCCTATGGAACATTAAAGTTAGATTAAAAACGTAGACTACGAGGTTCAGTAATCCTCACAGACTAATTGTACAAAAATTCTTTAGCTATTCGGATCCGAGTTTTTTTCTTCTTATACAGAAAATACGAGGGTAAGTTTCTTACATGAGTATAGAGACATCTGTAAGTATGTTGCTTTATATTTCAAAACGAATAAATCGAATCTTTTTATCTATTCTTTTATAGAAGAAGACATAAGCAAAGGAAGCCATAGTGAATTTACTTGTGTACTAGCCATGGGGAAATTTTGTCGAAGTTTTACGACATTGGGATCGTGCAGTTGCAACATCAAGTGCGTGGGCAGGTGTGAACTTTCTATAATTTCACAAACGAGAGTTTCTTTTCACATATGTCCACACATCATTTTAAGAACTTCTCTTGTGACCACGTGCGAAAAGTTTTCGTGAGCAGTTCACACGTTGTCACAAATGAAATATAACTTGCATAAAACTTGCATTCAAAATCTTGTCCAAGATCTTGAGAATAAAAACTTCAAGAGTGAACTTGAGTGAGTCAAGTCAGAATGTTTCAGAGTATTGTGATGAAATATTTTCTTTCTTATATGATAGCCATAACTATTAGACATACGCTCATATCTACTATCCATCTCAAAATATAATGTACTCCATTGTTCTTTCAATAAATTTTGACAGAAAATAGCTAGAGAGTTACGATTTTCAGTTTTAGAGAGTAGAACCTGGGAGCTATCCGTTTATGGGAAAATAAATTTAGACATACCACCTACAGGTGGTAAGCCTCTTCAAAACTTTTTGCAGAAACTTCCTCATCATTAAAGAAGTTTTGTATTTTCGATTCCAAATAGTGGACTGGAGACCGCGACATTATTCATTTTCATCTTCAGATCGAAGAAACCTCAGCTGACCCGCTTTTCAAAAACTCCGCTTTTTGCCTGTAGCCATGTAAAGTTTAAATCCGCATAACTCACTCAGTTCCCACCAGAAATGACTGTAACCTTAAGGAAATATTCAGCGTTAGTCGAAGATTATAGACCATGACGAAAAACTTGGACGTGATTCACTAAAGGACCATCGGATTTTCAGAGATCTTCGGAAAATCCTATGAATTAAACATTTGAATGCGGGATTTGCGGTTAATTTTGCTAAATTGTCCAAGTAAAACTACATATCTGCTGAAAATTTCGCTCATTTCGGATGAGAAATGAGTGAGTTATGCGGATTTAAACTTTACATGGCTACAGGCAAAAAGCGGAGTTTTTGAAAAGCGGGTCAGCTGAGGTTTCTTCGATCTGAAGATGAAAATGAATAATGTCACGATGATCAGCATAGCTGATTACCTGTGTCTCGAGCATTTTCGAGATTCCCAAATCTCCAAATTTGAAGATAGCATGGTCTGCGAAGAACATCTCCAGTTCCCGGACCATAAGAGATGGAAACCTGGGACTTGTCGAGAATTGTAGATCAACATCCAAGGTCTCCAGTCCACTATTTGGAATCGAAAATACAAAACTTCTTTAATGATGAGGAAGTTTCTGCAAAAAGTTTTGAAGAGGCTTACCACCTGTAGGTGGTATGTCTAAATTTATTTTCCCATAAACGGATAGCTCCCAGGTTCTACTCTCTAAAACTGAAAATCGTAACTCTCTAGCTATTTTCTGTCAAAATTTATTGAAAGAACAATGGAGTACATTATATTTTGAAATGGATAGTAGTCACAGGCTCATCTTTGAACAGCTTTACTCAAGAAAGAAAAAATTTCGAAGTTATTCTGAGTATGACAATGTTCGCAGTTATGTGTAAACAAGAGTGTGAAACAAAACGGCGATTCAAGATCTTGGTACAAGAACTCAAGAAATTCGAAGACGTTCAACATCTTCTGTTCTTTGGAATTTCTTACGTTTTTTTACCACGATCTTAATGAAAAAATTCAAAAAAAGTTAAGATCTTTGTTACAAGAAGTTTCGCTAGGATAGTCATTTTTGGAGGTAAAAAAGGTAGCTACGGATGAATTCAAGAGGTACACATACTTACAGTAGTACAAGTACAAGTAATACAAGTAGTTATCTTATTCTGAAATATTCGAGCAAATACTTTATCAAGCACTGATTCATAAAAATACTTCCAAGTACCTGATTAAGTACTTTTCGAAATTTGCAAGTATCCGAGTACTTAATCCCCAGTACATTCACTAGGGATTAATCAGTATAAAATTATTCAGAGTATCACGGCGATTTTATTCTAGAAGAGCTGATTTTATCTTTGACATCTAACTTTCTCGAGCATTCATCGCATAATAGCGGTCACATCCTTACATAATGTTATATATGCTCAACGATGGACTAAAAGATCATATAGATATTCATGTGAGATCTGGATTATATATCGATTTATTTCTCAACTCACTTGGCAGTACTTTGCCCGCAACTTCATTAATTTGTTCACACCATTTGGTAACGTCTTCTGCTTTTTGTGCATAAAACTAAAACAAAGAAATGACTAAAATGGATAAGCTACGTCTTTTTCACAGTATGTGATCAGAAATGTTGTATAACGTTTCAGTGCGAAGTAATAAGCAAAATTCAAAGCCTCTAAATTTTTATTTGGGTGAAACCGTTTTCTGTCTTTTTGCTGATTATTTCTTCATATTTGTGATAAAATAAATTTTTTGATAGCGGTGTATATAGCAGAGTCCTCTCGATAAGGCATATCTGTTTACAATTTGCTTACTTAAAACAGCTTGTTTTTGACAGTATCTATCTTGGATGTATGAACATATGTTGTATCAAAATTCAAAAATCAAAACTAAATCTCAAGTGGATAATTTCTACGATACAATATTCATTTTCTTTATTTGTTTTTATATGAATATAACTCATAAATTAATAACAAATAATTTATATTATTATAAATATATTTTAATTTATTAGAAAAATATATGAATACAGAGATAATACGATATAGTTAAAAAAGGTATAATTAACCATTTGGTATCAAAACATTGTTGTGTTCTAATTTTTTCCCAATTTCATCTTTTGGATCTGAGTAGGAGTGTCACATTATTGTTACTTTTATGAGTAATTCAAATATTGTATATATCCCTGTTATATTGACATTCTTTGACTTTTTTACGTTTCTTATAAAACTAAGTATATTTAAAATAATTGAAAAACATTTTTGTAAAATCATTTTACACAAGAAGCGAGCTTTCGATACTTCACAGTATCATCATCAGGCTAATATGACTGTG